ACTGAGCATCTTTCTCTTTGACACCATGTCTGATATCCCACGTGATCTGTCAAATACTAATGCATGAAAATCCTAACCTCAAAAAAATCACCCGATAAAAAAGAAACCTACTTCGGTATACCACGCAATCATAACAGAAAGTAAAAGCCATTAGCCCTTCGCCACAAGGGGGGACAGATCGCTTTATGCGTCGTTCAAGAACCAGCTATGTCTAGAAATTCGATGTGTTACTCTAATAATTTAGCGGAACGTGCTGCTTAGAGGTTTTTTACAATTTTATTCCAAATATTTTTGGTAAGGTTTGAGGGTGGTGCTCTCAAGCCATAATAAAGAAAGAGGCTCTTTGACTTTCCTTTGTGTTCTAAATACTCAGCGGTCACATGCTTGCTTGAAAATAATTCACTGAATTCGTCTGATATCTCACGAAATATTACGTCAGATTTATGTTTCGCCAGAATCCACCTCATTACCGATTCTAAGTTGACATCCTTCGATTAGCTTGATTAAAAATAAGGATCAGTCGGTACATTCATTGTTATCTAAATTATTTCATCAATACCTTAAGAAGTTTGTAATCCTTCACATAAAAACATTATAGAGAATTTGACTTATTGATTTTGAAAATTGACGACCATTTCAATCATTGCGGTTGTGGGTTTTAAAAGCTAAACCAACTTATTAACTTATACTGTTTGGAAATATGAAAAGAGTTTTGAAGAGAAATGAAGACGGACGGTTCACACTATGTTTAAACACTAAACCAAAAATGTATATGTTTTTTAATTTTAATGTAAAAATTTATTATAAATTGTAATCCATTTCGAGGTTCCCTAATTTTTAAAGAAAAAGCCCTGAAACTTCGAATTTAATGGAGAGTATTCATTATCATTCGAAACAATCTTCTTTTTAGTTAATTTTTTGAGGATTATCCCTTTCAAATGTTGGCCGCGGCTATGCCTCAGAGCCGTTGAGTCCAATTTTCGATGACTCAGTCGTACATTTCGAGTGGCAACTGACGAATGCCATTTCTGATGTTTTGCTGTGAGGTCTGAATCGAGATGAGATTGTCCGCACAGACTTGAGATTTTACGTATCTCCACAGGAGAAAGTCTAATGGTGAAATAATACAGGATCTTGGTGGCCAATCGACCGGCTCAAAACGTAAAATTATCTGTTCACCGAAGTGTTCTCTCAGTATTGTTGAAACCAAATGTCGCCGAGATCCCGACCTCCAATTTCAAGCATCAAATAGTCGCTTATAATGTCGCGATAACGATCACCATTGACGGTTAAGTTCTCACTCATTTTTGAAGAAATATGGACCGATCACCAAACTGTTGTTTTTACTATATGAAATGTCAGTTCATGAAACTTTTCAGATTGCTCTTCGTCCCGAATGCAGAAATTCTCTTTGCTTACATACTCTTTGAGCCAGAAATGGGCTTCATCACCGAAAAAAATTTGGCTCAATCTTCTAGTAACTTTTCAAGAGCCCATAGAGTAAAGCGATGTCGCTTGGTAAGGTCGAGCGGCTCCAGTTCGTGCACAAGTTGTATTTCCTAAACCTTTCAGCTAAGATGTCGACGTAAAATGCGCCAAGTCGTAAAATGTGCCAGTGCGAGTTCCTGTGAACGGCGCAGAATCTCCTTCCCACTACTGCTATATTTTCTTCACTGCGTGCTGGACATAGTCTACTCGGTCGAATATGATCCAATACGGGTAATAAATGCTGGGTCACAATAAGGGGGATGATGTTATGAATGGTACGATAAGTAGGCCGATTATAGTGGACCATAAGTTGAGCAAAGCCCAACATTAGGCGTGTTTAATTTGACCAGCAAATTAAACAATTAGCTTAGCAACATAATTGTGTTGGCTTATCATAAGCCATCGTAGCTTGTATATTGAAATTTGAAATTTCTAACTAAATAGAATATCACCTGTTTGTTCTTGACGCATTGCCAATACAATTCAGTGTACAAATGAAATAAGCTAAGTGCGTTTTATTTGTCCATGATTTAGCTTTTAGCTTGTGATAGCAAATGAAACACACCCACTATTTACAGAACGTAAATTTTCGTAATAAAGTTGAACAATTTGTAAACGTTGTTCAGGCGTAAGTTTTTCCATGACGAAATGCCAAACTATACTGAATCAAACATGACATCTTGATACGACTCACGCGTGATCTGTCAAAAAAGGCTATTGACAAATACCTCTACTTGAATATTCCGTGATATCGCAATCCCTAATATATGGTACACACAATTGTATTATTCAATGTGGGGAACTTAAGTTTCGCCCAAGAATAAGTTTGATTCTCAGAAGTGATTACTGATATTGCTCTTTTTACTGTTTTTACATTTAATAAATATTTTTCTTCTTATTTTGCTTGGTTACCGAGTTTGTATTTTCATTATTTACGTCATGGCACTGCAGTAATAACGAAATAAGGCGAGCAACTTTGTCAGTTCTTTAGCCAAGATTTCCTTTACCACGAGAGATTTGACTTTGTTTCGCCGTAGGCGGCATTTGTTCGAATTCCATGACATGCCGAATGATAGTCACGTGTTCGGCTATTTTTGTTCTATTTGTTGTAGCACTTAAGCCTCCTTCAAAGTGTAACAAATTGAATTATTTCTAAAGTGCTTGGGCATTACACACAAATAAGGAATGATGTTTCTTCTCTGTGCTCGTTTAGTGAGTAAAGTAAATATATTAGGAAATCCACCCCATTTACTAATTCTATTTTCACGGAAGTATGCTAGGTTGCTTATTTAGTTTTATTACGAGTAATAGTGGTATTGACTCGAAAGCAGGCAAAGTTTGCAACCCAGATCACTTTTTTTTTTTGGAAATTTGGAGTACTCTATACAGTTGTGCCAACGGTTTTTCCAATCTTCGAAGGACTTCAAAAAATCATTTTTTTTCTTTTTTATCTTCTTCAGCTCCTCCTTCGATGCCGTCTTTATCTCGTCAAGAGAAGCGTAACGTCGTCCTTTCATGGGTGGGATTCTTCAGTTTAGGGAACAAGAAGAAGTCACAGGGGCCAGATCTGGGGAATACGGTGGCTGCGACATCATTAGTGTGTTGTTTTTGGCCAAAAAGTCGCGCACAAGCAACGATGTGTGAGCAGGGGCGTTATCGTGGTGCAAAAGTCAGTTTTTGTCACATCTTCTCGGCCTTCTGAGAACATTTTGTACCACCGATAAACGTTGCTTCGGTCCAAGGTAGCTTCTCCGTAAGCCACAGTCAACATTCGGAATGCATCCGCGCACTTAATTTCGTTTTTCAAACAGAATTTGATACAGGTTCTTTGATCCATTTTTTTGAATAGGTAAAAATCGAAGACGATCCAAAATACGTGCAAGCAAAGCAGCTGTCAACAATTAAATGAACATTCAAAATGGCTTGTCGGCATAAGTGAGAGACATGAGTACCAACATAACGCCACAAAAAATTCGAAAT